AATTTTCAGGTTTAATTAACGGTCACGTTCTGCTAGTGGGACGACTGGCGCTCCCTTTTTTTACTGACTTTTTTCATATCACATATTTTAGTAATCATCATAGATTAGGTATCATTCGAAAGCTCAAAATTCAACCTGTGAAAACCGTTTTGAAATTGGACGATTGAGAGGCGAGCAAGGTCTTTTAAACGATCACCTTCAAACTCTATTGTTCTCTTGTGCTCCGCATCACACCACACGATAACGCTGGATAAAAATAAATAAATAAATAAATAAATAACTTGTGGGCTGTTATAGTTCACCCAGGACTGGACTTTATTCTGTTATGGTAAACTGTCTTTGTAGTGTTAAGAGTTGGAGAGCTAAACAGGAGATATTGTTTTTTGCCCCTCGGCTCCGCTTGCGTGTTCTTAAAGAGAAACACAGTCTTTTCAGCTGGACATTATAAATCGCTTTTTTTCTGCACTAAACTAGTTAATTTTTCCAAGATCTATTCAGAGATTATAAACAAGATGTTATAGAATAATAATTTAATAAAAACCCAATTTTGACACAAAAAACTGACATTCAATCTATATTTAGACCTTACTGAAAACGTACCAGCGCGACTTCCGACGGGTTTTCCAAGATCGCATCATATATATATAGTTTCGGTTCGCATTAAATAATAATTTTTTAATCCGTTGTTGTCTTTGCATTCTTTGGCTAGTGTTACAGTACGTGATCCCTCTCTTGTTCATTCAAGTGCTTTTAAACCATTCAAGTGCAATAAGATGCATATGTACTGGAGTGCTGTCTGAGAAGCGTCTCTCTGTGAACACATACTCGACACACACGTGGCCGTGCGCACTGAAAGCCACTTCTCAGACAGTGATTCTAGATTTTATTCATAATAGAGAGATGCCATTAAACATTTAAAATATAGAATTTTATGTTGTTTCTACATTGTTATTTGTATGATTTGTTGTTTTTCTATGCCAAACACAAAGAAAGTTTTCCCCCCATCTCCACAGATTAAGGGCATGAAAGATCGTCTGGACCTGTGGTGTGGGGATGTTAAGAACATGGCCATGTTGGTGGAACACCAGGCTCAGGACATCCTGACTTAGAAGTGTTCTTTACCATGTCTGGCCCATCTGAACGTTCCCCTACATTGCATTCTCCACAAGCCTCAGTTCTTTGTTTGATGCGCATCAGTATCTTCATTGTCATTAAAGTAACTTGTTTTCACAATCAATGTTTTGGGGGTTTTGTTCAGGGATAGTTCACCCAAAAATGAAAATCTACAATCTAAATGGCATCTTTTATGTTCTGCGGGGGCGAAAAAAATTATTTTAGGCTAAGTAAATGATGACAATTTTCTTTTTTGCGTAAACAATCACTGCGGCTGATTTTTGAAAGTTTTTTTTTTTACATTTTTTTTACTCATCTGAACCACAATTACAATACATACATTTTTATCAATATAATGATTATAAGGCATCCGTATTGGCCATAATAGCACTGTAGAAGCGAAGCCCTGAATTGCTTAAGAGCTTTTGGAAATGTGAGCTTTCAACTCCCAAATCAAATTTGAAATGCAGTTACACCCACATCCTTCTCTGAAACAATGACCGGTGCTGTAAAAAAAACGGTCTAAAATCATCCTACATTACTGAGAATAGATGACGAGATGTTTTCCCTGCACATTTCGTCCCCTTGGAATTATAAGGGTCTATCTGACATTTTTGTCAAAATTGACAACTTATTTACGTTATGTGATGTGTATTTTTTAAGTTGTGTTCATTGTGGGACTTTTTATTGAAAAAAAACAAAAAGGTTCTATCTACAAAGTCGAACTCTAACTTGCCTGACGCAAAGCTCCAATACAAAACGTTACTCAAAGACTCCAAACAGGTACAAGGAAGACTGGTAGAAGATTACACGCACTATCCATGAAACATAATCAAGAACCGACAAGCACAGATTGAAACAGAGAGAACTAAATACAGATACAAAATGAACACTAACAAGGTGACACAGATGATCAGGACGATGAACAGGTGGACGATTGAGGGAGTGAGTTCAGGCGTGGAGACAAGAGGATGCTGGGAAGTGTAGTGAAGATGACAAAGACTGTGACAGAACGTCCCCCTTTACAAAAGCGCGACCTCGCGCCGTAGAACATCAATGGGGTGGGCGCCCTGGAGGCTGACAAGGGCATGGCTCAATTGGCTTTATGCCCAGCTGCACTACTTCCTGAACTTAAGCCAGCTCCTTGTTTCCTGTCTGCCATTATTGGCCAAATTGATCAATTCAGGTGTGTCTGATTATTGTTGCCACGACTACTGAGGTCAAGCACACCTGAATTAATCGATTTGACCAATAATGGCAGACAGGAAACAAGGAGCTGGCTGAAGTTCAGGAAGTAGTGCAGCTGGGCAGGGCGGAACAGGCTGAGCAGGACGAGGGCGTGGCAGAGCAGACTGAGGGCGTGACCACCGCGGAGCAGGACGAGGGCGTGGCGGAGCAAGCTAAGGGCGTGACAAGGGCAGAGCAGGACATGGACGTGGCAGAGCAGACTGAGGGCGTGACCACCGCGGAGCAGGACGAGGGCGTGGCGGAGCAAGCTAAGGGCGTGACCAGGGCGGAGCAGGACTTGGACGTGGCGGAACAGGCTGAGGGCGTGACCACGGCAGAGCAGGACGTGGACGTGGCGGAGCAGGCTGAGGGCGTGACCACGGCGGAGCAGGACGAGGGCGTGGCGGAGCAAGCTGAGGGCGTGACCACGGCGGAGCAGGACGTGGACGTGGCAGAACAGGCTGAGGGCGTGACCACGGCGGAGCAGGACGTGGACGTGGCAGAACAGGCTGAGGGCGTGACCACGGCGGAGCAGGACGTGGACGTGGCAGAACAGGCTGAGGGCGTGACCACGGCGGAGCAGGACGTGGACGTGGCAGAACAGGCTGAGGGCGTGACCACGGCGGAGCAGGACGAGGGCGTGGCGGAGCAAGCTGAGGGCGTGACCACGGCGGAGCAGGACGTGGACGTGGCAGAACAGGCTGAGGGCGTGACCACGGCGGAGCAGGACGTGGACGTGGCAGAACAGGCTGAGGGCGTGACCACGGCGGAGCAGGACGTGGACGTGGCAGAACAGGCTGAGGGCGTGACCACGGCGGAGCAGGACGTGGACGTGGCGGAGCAGGCTGAGGGCGTGACCACGGCGGAGCAGGACGTGGACGTGGCAGAACAGGCTGAGGGCGTGACCACGGCGGAGCAGGACGAGGGCATGACCACGGCAGAGCAGGACGTGGACGTGGCGGAGCAGGCTGAGGGCGTTGCCAGGATGGTGAAGACCCTTCAGGCAGCCGTGGCTGGGCCATAGGACGTGCAGAGGCAGTCATCTGGGAAACTGGTTTCCAGGAAAACCTCCAGGTGTTCCTCAAGAGAGCTGTTTCCCTGCTCCTGCTCAAGGTACATTAGTCTTACAGCAGGGAAATCCATGTTTGGTCAGGTCTTCTGTCATGCTGTAGTGTGGAATGAAGACAGGCTGAGGCTGACGCAAAGCTCCAATACAAAACATTTACTCAAAAACTTCAAACAGGTACAAGGAAAGACTGGCAGAAGATTACACACACTAGCACAGACTGAAACAGAGATACAAATGAACACTAACAAGGTGACGACAGATGATCAGGACGATGAACAGGTGGATGATTGAGGGAGTGAGTTCAGCTGTGGAGACAAGAGGATGCTGGGAAGTGTAGTGAAGATGACGAAGACAGAATGGTGCAGACAAAGACTGAAAATTATATAGTTAGTGAATAATTTTTCAATGATTATTAAACTTTACGAATTAATTTGCTGAAGCATGTCGATTTTTTTTGCAGTTTTTAAAGTCCCAAATGTCTTAATTTTACCATATTAAGGCTTATAGGTCAAATATTTAACAATTTAGTTAATGCGGTCTTAATTACAACAATAAACGTTTGCATGTTATTTCAGCCATATTGAGGTCTAGAGAGAAAGGAAGCCATTTTACCTGGCCCACTTTAGCTGGAATAAAGTCCTGCTCGGATGTATTACTGCTCTCTGTCTAAGAAAAAGAAAGATTAAAGTATAATTTCTACAATAATATGTTTAATTACCCACCAAATAGGTGAAAATGAAGATTATGCACTGGGGAAAATATTTAGACCTACAAAACATGAAAGTGCTAAAAAAATGTTAAATAAATGTCATAGAAAGGGTAAAATTTTACTTTCTAACACATGTTGAGACATTGTTACAACATTATTATTTTTTTTAATTTAATGTTCAAATAATGTTTTGGCAGATAGAACCTTATAATTCTAAGCGAAAAGTGTTTTTTTTAGAATTAGAAGGTTCTATCTGCATTTGACCCGTTCCAAAAATCCCCATTTACAAATTTGAGAGGATTTTGATATTTTATGTTTAGAATACATTTAGGGTCCCTGTTATTTTCATGTTTGAATGAAACTTGTTCCCCATATAAATTTTCCTATATGTAATGCAAAAACGTTGAAGCTCAATCTCTCAAAACTGCTCACGACGCAGATAGAACCTTATAATTCCAAGGGAACGATTTTATTTCATTTTGTATCCTAGCAACAGACTTCTGCTGTGTCATCTGCAAGGTTTATTTCTATGCATCTGCTATACAAATATCAAGTCAGTGTCTTCATCTGCACTCTATTTGGTTATTATGACGTGTAAATAATTTCCACCAAAAAAAAAAATTCACTTTAAATGATTAATCTCAGATTAATCTGGAAAAAATAACTTAACTTCTGCATGCAATTATTGTCCTTATTGCAATAGTTTTGTACTTGCACCAAACACATTTAAAATGTCTGCTTTACTTGGAATTGTTCATTCATGATATAATTGTATTGGAAGTTTATTTTTTACCTTCTTCGCTTATCTTAGTTTTCAGAATTGACTGCAAGTTGACTTGTGATCATCTAATAGCAAACAAACATTAAAGCAACATAGCCATGAACATTTTTATATAGTTTAATCGATGCAGAGCAGGTGCCACCTGTTGAGGCGTTCAAGTACAATCATTTATTTAAACATTCAATGGTGAACTAGGCTTCGTAAGGAGGAATGCTCAAAACAGAGAGACATTTATTCTTGGTCTGCAACAGGACGGTTCTTGTAGTTCTCCAAATGTGACAGGATCCATCCAGAGGGGCCCAGGATGGTCACGAAAAAGGTCCCCATTGCAATTAATTGCTCCTGCATTGAGAACACAGTGACATTAGTGAAATACAGAACTACGTTATTCATCTATTATGAGTTTTTAGTTTTTAAACTAACCAAACTTTTTTCTCATGCATTAAATTTTTGGTGCCTTAATTTCCTTCGCGATTTCATTTTAATATGACTTTTATTTAAAGTAGGCCCTAGTGCAAAACTATCCCAGATGGGAAATAAAATTTGAGGTATTTGTGTTTAGGGACATGTTAGCTATTATAGCTGGTCAAAAATGTTGTTTTTTTTAGGTGTTCCAGGCAAGAATACCAGCAATAAACCGGTGTTTGAAACGGTCTAGTTGTCTGACCTGATAAAAAAGAGCTGCTCCAAGCCACCACTTGGATTTCCAAAAGGGTGAACTTTATTTGTCCGACAGTGTCGTGAAATTTGGCTGCTTTCCAAAAACGTATAAGGCCACGAAGTTCTTTAAACACATTCATTAGGCTACATTACAGACACTAATATTAATTTCTTCATTTTATGACTATGAAAATGTCGACATGACAGAAAGCTGGCCGCTCGCGCTATTTCCACACTGTACGTGAGCGCGCAAATAGGATCAATGGCGTAATCTGCATTATAGTCCCGCCTGACTTTTAATTACACTGCCTAAAATATTATTCACAGGTTTTCATAACAGAATTAAACATTTTTACCAACTCGCATACTCATGTATTTAGCTCGATAGTATCCGTTTATCACAGGCCGTCACACTCTCGCGCGCGCTGGTGGTAAAGTGCGCAGTTAAACTAAAAGTCAACCCATACTCACCCCAAAGGACAGCACATGTTTGGCTGGTTTGGCTGAAATGTTGACTTTAGGGATGATCTGGTGTCTCATCGCAGCCCTCAGCAGGTTGAAAGAGCAATTAAAGGCTGACATTGTGACGTTGTTAGATGTATCCAAACGCTAAAATATGTGCGCGCGGCTCAACTTGTGATGCGCCCTTCAGGGAAAGCGAGACGAGTTGCAATTTCTTGTCTACCTGCCAACTCCTATTTAAGGTCAGGGCGAGGAAAAAATAAAAAGAAATGTGTGTGTTTGCCAATCCGCTGCGAGTTTGATAAGCTCGGTCTATTTAATTGGCTGTCCCGCCGCACTGCAGTCAAGATGGAGAGTGTTTTCGTGCCCGCAGTCAGATGGATGCCACCTGCTAGATGTCTTAAAATGTATTTTCTCGACGATGTTCTTAAACGGAATAACTGAACCACAGAAGTTAGAGGGCAAAAATGCAGTCTATTTCGTACGTAGCCTTTTTTTTTTTTTTGCTTTTTTGCTTTTTGCATGCTTCTTGTTATCTGTAAATAACACGATTTACAATATATTACAATATTTCATTTTTATCCAGATTTCTATTTTATTTTCTTACATTTCAGTGTTATATTGTATTGTATTTATGTAGGCTTTTGTATTGCAACAAAATAACTAACTGATAGGCTACTGATGTTATAATCCACCCTGGCTCTCAGTAAATTGATCCATTTCAAATAGGCTATTTCAAAATGTAGACTACGCAACTCATAAAACTTAGCCTGAAAAACATGTTCAACAAGGAACTATTGGTTAACCATTCCTGCCTCGCCAATAATGTACCGGAAGATGGAGCTATATGATCTTTATTCAGCAAATTGGCCCATTAAATTGACGAATTATTACAAATAAAAGCTGTTCTTTTCAACTTTCTATTTACCAAAGAATCCACAAAAAAACTACTTATAATCAGATATTTTAACATTTCGCTCGCGTTTCTTGAGCACCAAATCTGCAAAATGATTTCTGAAGAATATTTGTGACCAGATTGAAAATTCAGCTCTGCCCTGACATGAAAGTTACGCTTTAGAATACATAGTCCTACTAAAGTAAAAAATATATATATATATATATATATATATATATATATATATATATTATATATATATATGAAATTAATAATATATATAGGCTATTTCAAATATGTTTCACAATATTCTGTTTTTAATTATTATTTTTTTATTAAATAAATGCTGTCATTTTATAAATGCTGTCAATAAATGCTGTCATTTAAGCTCCAGGCTAGGCTACTTCTAAAAAATGAAGAACAACGAATTTGCGTCCAGTTTTTAACAATGATTATGTATTATATTATTATATAACAACAATGTTAATTTATGAAGCCTTTAATTCTGGGTTATTTAGCAAAATGGGTAAACAATAATTAAATTTTTAAAATGATAGCATTTAGCAAAAATATGATAGCAAAAATAGATAGACATGATAGCAAAAATAGATTTTTTCAGTGACCCAACACATGGGTAAAAAATCATTTTAAAAAAAAAAGAACCCAGCATTTTGTAATGTAAATCTTGTGGTATTCAGCACGTTTCTCACTGACACGGCCCCAACTCGTAAAGAACGGGGTTAACCCATTCAGACCCTTGGTCCATTACAATGGACATCACATGTCATAGTCATAGTTCATGTGTGCAAGCTCAGATGACATACGTACTCTTTGCATTCTGGAGAGATGTGGTTGGGCACAGTGTAACGTCAGTCCATGATCATGATGAGGGTCTCGCTGTCGTTGGCCTCCTGAAGGGGTGGTTGTCCACACACTGGCATATAGTCGAGAAAACTGAGGAGGTACAACCTAAACCTCAGAAAGGGAACCAGGGACACAAGTACTGACTCTGCTATTCGGGCCGATCCCAGCAAGGTCAAGAACGTGAACTTGCAAGAACGTCTGCTACAGTTCCCGCTCTGTGAGAAAGCCTTGTCCTTCAACATCCAGCCCACATCTAAAGAGAAGCTTCTACCATTTGCACAGTACAACTGCTGCCATGTCTTGTAGAGATCGGATCCCGAGATCAAAGAACAAACTGGCATGAGAAGCCCTCAAATATCTGCAACTTACTGGACACTAAAAGAATAAGTGTGTTCTCACCTCATACTGTAACCTCAGAGGTGCTTCCCACTCAATCTACTAATTGTATATTATTATTTTCTTTCCCTACCCAGCATTCATTGCTGCTTTCCTGTAAGACAGTTAACCTTTTGGCAATGCTGTGTATATGAACACCTGTATCTACTGACACTGCTGACTATATTCTGTGCTATCTCAGAGAAGTTTATTAGAAGTAGCATATGTCTTGCTAGCGTAGAAGCTTTAATTCAATAACTTGTCATTTTGCAATGTAATATCTTAACCACATTATGTGTTCCACAGAGTTTAGTGATAAACGAGTGACTGAGTGACCATTCTTCACAGTGACAGAAAAAGGCAACACGAGAACATACGGTGAGCAATCACAATAGAGGCCATTTAGGCTCAAGGACTTGCCACTTAGTCGGTACAGTAGTCCTAACAAGTTTTTAGTCATTCATTTTGGGTTTTTTTGCCGGTAACTGTGAGGCAACGTTCTTTACTCGCAGAACTTTGAAGTTGCATTCTGTGGCATTGATGAAGTTGCTAATTCTCGTGCTAGCATGTTAGATTGCACCTTCACTGTCAGGCAGTGGGACAGGAAGCAGAACAGTTTGCCACATTGATACAGTGAGCAGTTTGGGAGCAAAGCATGCTAAATGAGAACAGCTTAGCATAACATTAGCATTTTGTGAGCTGGGGGATTGACCAGGGAAAGATGCTAAGTATATCTGTGATACATTTTCAAATAAAAAAAGAGAAGAGGGCTCAAACAGAGATTATTCTGAGAGATTATAGCTAGAGACTTTTTGTGAAATGGACATAATGTTACACAAAAACAGAAGACTGGGCTTCCTGGAGCAGTATTTTGGAGTTTGTTTTAAAACTGCTAATTCTTGGAAATATTTTGAAGCTTTTATCAAATATTAGAGAGTTATCAAGGGTTTTTTTAGAAAGATGGTGACAAAGACATCAAAGACTTTTTTTTTTCTTTTTTTTCTTTTTTTTAACATGAGATATGTGAGGGAGATTAATTAGGCTACATAACATTTGAACATCTATTTTTGTTTAATCATTTGCCTTTGGGTACATTTTTAACATATGTTGTATGGGTATACGCTCTTTGAAATATCCATATATTATGTAGAGTGTATATATATTTTTCGAACGTTATGCTATTGGTATGATGTTGTATTTTGACCCTTGCACCGTATCCATTCGAACATTTCAATCCCTCCATTTTAGATCGTATTCAATGAACGTAGCGACTTTTATGACGCTAGTTTGATGATCGACAAAGATCATATGGATCATAAATGCATTTGAAGAGCTGTATGATATTATAAAGCTAAATTGCGTAGCTGAGCCTAGTTTAAAATCCAGCCTTCGTATGTTGCAATGGCATGAATGAAGCTAGCGGTTACTGTTGTTTTGACCTCCTAAACAGCCTAAACACGATCACATTAACATTTAGATAGGCGGTGTGTGACTGTGTACTGTTACTTTGGTACTCTAAAGGACGTCAAAGTTATTCAGTCACTTCACATGTTCGTAAGTTTCTGTGCTATACATAGTACACCTTTCACTGGTGAATTAATTATTTTTTGTCATACTTTAGTAAATGTAAATGTCGAATAAGCCTATACTTTTTTTTTTTTTTTTTTTTTTTTTTTTTGCAATATCTTGGACCATGAATAAGCTTGACCAAATGCACAAGAATAGATGTAATAAAAAGGTGCTTTGGGGAGAGATATTGATGGTTATATTAGATCTGTAACGTGAAATTTGAATTTTCATTCCCATACAAAGTTTAAACTAAAAACCATCCTGACCTGCGATGTTTTGTAAGTACAACCTTCTGAACCAATTGGATGGCAGAGGGATATAAAAGCCAGACGTTCATTATATTTTCGTAATCAGCATTTTTTTTCTTATTATTTTGATGTTACTCATTTGACATGGGTCTCCATCTTTCAAAGCAACTGTAATCACATCACGACCGTTGGATTTTGGTTTGTCTATAGTCCCATTGACCCTTACTAAAATTATGACTGTCTCAATGAGATTAATTTATTTTTATATTTATTTATTAAAACTGATTAAACTGCCCTTGTGTCATTGTATTTTTTTCTTTTTTCAAAGACTTTGCACAAGACCGATGCATGACGTGGCTTTCTCTGTTTAAAACCATTTGAATATTTATTTGAATATTTTAGTTTTCTTCAAGGCCATTTACATCAATATACATTCATATGACATATTCAGTGAAGCAAGCATTGCGTGGTTATTTATACTGGTTGTAAGAACACATCCATTTTGATGACATTTAAAATACAACAGTTAAAATTGTCAATATATTTACAAAAAAATGAGAAAGCAAATACAAAAAGAACAGCAACTGGGAAAATACTATACCATAGTGATTGAGGTGAACTATTATTTTAAATTCATTAATACAGCACATAATGGGTCTATGTTAACCCACTATCATTATTTTTTTATCTTCCTTGACCTTAATCATCTGTTATCAAAAAGGTACCACTGACGCAAACAATTTTTAACTATAAACCCTGTAAACTGTAGAAGTTATCTTTGGTAAACTGTGCCATATGGTACATTAGCAAGCTAAGTATACAGTAGCTAGTGATGTGACTGCATGGCCAAGCACCTCCTCTTTTGTGATTGTCTCCATAGAAATAGTCCTTTGTCACTCTCCCATTTTGGCTTTCGGAGGGAGTTTATCATCCACACGAGAGCTCTTGATCCTCTGAGGGAGAAAAAGTTAATGACATTTTTTTGGTTACGTAAACAGTCCATAACATACATTAGATTTTAAAATAATTGTTTGGTTAATCACATGATGCCTTTAGTCTCGATGAACCACGAGAAACAAAATTAAATTGAGTCATAAAGTAATAAAGACAAATAACATTAGCGTTCTGTCAGCTTTATTAACTAATTGGGAAAAAGATTGCTGTAAATGACAGGCATGATAGTAATAACTTACAGCTACACTTTGTTCCCACCTTTGTGTTATGTAAACAAAAACTTAAAATGTAATATGCATGGCTAAACAATGTAGAATGCTAAAATACTAAGTTAGCAAAAGTGGTACCTGTTTCTTAAGCGCTTGCATCGAGTGAAACTCGATTTGTTCTCTCTTGATTCGGACCCAATCCGGTTCATCAGGGATCATGAAGGCCAAAATCATCTTCGCCATGATCAGGACATGCTAGAAACAGCATAATAAAACCATCAAGACATTCACCAACAGAGCTTGTGAAAACAGCAGCCAGCTAATTCACTTCAGATAAGTGCTTTCAAGCCTTCTGGGAAGTTCGTATTTACAATATGGGAGGTATTTACACTGATCAGAGCATGTTCATGTACCTTTTCTACATTACAAAAATGATGTCTTGCACATTAGGTGTGTTTTTGCTTTTTTGTGATTTTATTCAATTCATGAAGGCGCTGTAAAAAGAATCTTTATATTAAATTGTAAATGTACAATACGGTTGTATTATGTACATGCAACTTATTGTAAATAAAAAAAAATGTTATTAATTTAAACAAATTTACTGTAAAGTACAGACTCTCCAGCAACGTAAGACCTCTGACATATATAGCAATTGTAAGTCGCTTTGTATAAAAAGTGTCAGATAAATGAATAAATGTAAATGTGTGTTTCTGTTCATGTGCATCTAACAGTACTCGTAAAAGCGATCTTTCCAACATGACTTGAACGAACCCTTAATCAAATTCCTGTAAAGGGATAGTTCACTTTGAAATTAATTTTTGATAATGTTTTAGCTTACCTCTAGCTAGTCCAAGACCGAAAAAAGGTCCATTCCGTCCTTGGGCCGTAGGCAAACGGACGCGGGTTGGCGGACGAGCGCGCCGGCACTCCATAATTCCACTGTCCACGAACACACTATTGTCCAATAACCCACTATTTTTGAAAAGTAATAACCCTGGCCTTCGTGCAACAAGCTGTAATTGGACAGAATCCCGCCTGCAATCTATTGAATGATGATTTGGGTAGTGTGTTTTTTGGACATTTTAATTAAAGTTTCTTTCATGATAAAAACTATTTTACTGCACTCAGTGGGCCCCCTGAGTCCCCCATTTTTGCACTCAGGTCTAAGTCCCATTGCCCTCTATCAGAATCCAGAGTTTCAAGAAGATCAGAGAAACTCAAAATTTCAACCCCAAAAAAACCCCGACAGTGTTACTTACCCATGTCGTTTTTTTTTTTTTGTGCGAAAAAATAAGTTTCTCCAATCTTCTTGAAACTTTGGATTCTGATAGAGGGCAATGGGACTTAGACCTGAGTGCAAAAATGGAGGCTCTAGACTCTTCCAGAGCTGAGATATTGAGATATTTATAATGGCATAAATGTTATGTGGGATCTCAATATCTCAGCTCTGGAAGGGTCTAGAGCCTCAATTTTTGCACTCAGGTCTAAGTCCCATTGCCCTCTATCAGAATCCAAAATTACAAGAAGATCAGAGAAACTCAAAATTTCGACCCAAAAAAACCCCACAGTTTTACCCCTGTCGTTTTTTTTGTGTTTTTTTTTTTTGTGCGAAAAATAAGTTTTTCCAATCTTCTTGAAACTCTGGATTCTGATAGAGGGCCATGGGACTTAGACCTGAGTGCAAAAATGGAGGCTCTAGACGTTCCAGAGCTGAGATATTGAGATCCCACGTAGCATTTATGCCATTATAAAAATAGTAGGTTCGCGGACGGTGGAATTTTGGGGCGGCGCTTGGTGCCACGGACATAGGGGGCCCCTCTAAGTGCAGTAAAATAGTTTTTATCACAACAGCAACTTTAATTAAAATGTCCAAAAAACACACTACCCAAATCCTCATTCAATAGATTGCAGGCGGAATTTTGTCCATTTGCAGCTTATTGCATGAAGGCCAGGGTTAGTACTTTTCAAAAATATTGGGTTATTGGACAAAAAGTGTGTTCATGGACAGTGGAATTATGGGATGGCGCTTTGGTGCTAGGGACTGAGGGGTAGTGATGGCCAAATGAAGCGTTTAAAAGCATTATTGCTCAATATCAGAACACATGAAACTTATTTTTTCGCACACAAAAAAAACCCGAAAGGGGTACCACTGTCGTTTTTTATTTTTTCAGGTCGAATTTTTTAGTTGCTCTGATCTTCTTGAAACTCTGGATTCTGACAGAGGGCCATGGGACTTAGACCTGAGTGCAAAAATGGAGGCTCTAGACCCTTCCAGAGCTGATATATTGAGATCCTTCGTAGCATTTATGCCATTATGAATATCTCAATATCTCAGCTCTGGAAGGGTCCATTTTTGCACTCAGGTCAAAGTCTCATGGCCCTCTATCAGAATCCAGAGTTTTGAGAAGATTGGAGAAAGTTAATTTTTCGCCTGAAAACGAAAAAAACGAAAGGGGTAACACTGTCGTTTTTTTTTTTTTTTTCGGGTCAAAATTTTGAATTTTGATATCTCAGCTCTGGAAGGGTCTAGAGCCTCCATTTTTGCACTCAGGTCAAAGTTTTGTGGCCCTCTATCAGAATCCAGAGTTTTGAGAAGATTGGAGAAACTTAATTTTTCGCCCGAAAATGAAAAAAACGAAAGGGGTAACACTGTCGCTTTTTTTTTCGGGTCGAAATTTTGAGTTTCGATATCTCAGCTCTGGAAGGGTCTAGAGCCTCTATTTTTGCACTCAGGTCAAAGTCTCGTGGCCCTCTATCAGAATCCAGAGTTTTGAGAAGATTGGAGAAACTTAATTTTTCGCCCGAAAACAAAAAAAACAAAAGGGGTAACACTGTCGTTTTTTTTTTCGGGTCGAAATTTTGAATTTCGATATCTCAGCTCTGGAAGGGTCTAGAGCCTCCATTTTTGCACTCAGGTCAAAGTCTCGTGGCCCTCTATCAGAATCCAGAGTTTTGAGAAGATTGGAGAAAGTTAATTTTTCGCCTGAAAACGAAAAAAACGAAAGGGGTAACACTGTCGTTTTTTTTTTTTTCGGGTCAAAATTTTGAATTTTGATATCTCAGCTCTGGAAGGGTCTAGAGCCTCCATTTTTGCACTCAGGTCAAAGTCTCGTGGCCCTCTATCAGAATCCAGAGTTTTGAGAAGATTGGAGAAACTTAATTTTTCGCCCGAAAATAAAAAAAAAACGAAAGGGGTAACACTGTCGTTTTTTTTTCGGGTCGAAATTTTGAATTTCGATATCTCAGCTCTTGAAGGGTCTAGAGCCTCCATTTTTGCACTCAGGTCAAAGTCTCGTGGCCCTCTATCAGAATCCAGAGTTTTGAGAAGATTGGAGAAACTTAATTTTTCGCCCGAAATGAAAAAAAAACGAAAGGGGTAACACTGTCGTTTTTTTTTCGGGTCGAAATTTTGAATTTCGATATCTCAGCTCTGGAAGGGTCTAGAGCCTCCATTTTTGCACTCAGGTCAAAGTCTTACAGCCCTCTATCATAATCCAGAGTTTTGAGAAGATTGGAGAAACTCAATTTTTCGCCCAAAAATGTAAAAAACGGTAACACTGTCGTTTTTTTTTTTCGGGTCGAAATTTTGAATTTCGATATCTCAGCTCTGGAAGGGTCTAGAGCCTCCATTTTTGCACTCAGGTCAAAGTTTCATGGCCCTCTATCAGAATCCAGAGTTTTGAGAAGATTGGAGAAACTCAATTTTTCGCCCGAAAATGAAAAAAAACGAAAGGGGTAACACTGTCGTTTTTTTTTTCGGGTCGAAATTTTAATTTCGATATCTCAGCTCTGGAAGGGTCTAGAGCCTCCATTTTTGCACTCAGGTCAAAGTTTCGTGGCCCTCTATCATAATCCAGAGTTTTGAGAAGATTGGAGAAACTCAATTTTTCGCCCGAAAATGAAAAAAACGAAAGGGGTAACACTGTCGTTTTTTTTTCGGGGTCGAAATTTTGAATTTCGATATCTCAGCTCTGGAAGGGTCTAGAGCCTCCATTTTTGCACTCAGGTCAAAGTCTCACAGCCCTCTATCATAATCCAGAGTTTTGAGAAGATTGGAGAAACTCAATTTTTCGCCCAAAAATGAAAAAAAACGAAAGGGTAACACTGTCGTTTTTTTTTTCGGGTCGAAATTTTGAATTTCGATATCTCAGCTCTGGAAGGGTCTAGAGCCTCCATTTTTGCACTCAGGTCAAAGTCTTACAGCCCTCTATCATAATCCAGAGTTTTGAGAAGATTGGAGAAACTTAATTTTCGCCCAAAATGAAAAAAAAACGAAAGGGTAACACTGTCGTTTTTTTTTCGGGTCGAAATTTTGAATTTCGATATCTCAGCTCTGGAAGGGTCTAGAGCCTCCATTTTTGCACTCAGGTCAAAGTTTCGTGCCCTCTATCATAATCCAGAGTTTTGAGAAGATTGGAGAAACTTAATTTTCGCGCCAAAAATGAAAAAAAAAAAGGGGTAACACTGTCGGTTTTTTTTTCGGGTCGAAATTTTGAATTTCGATATCTCAGCTCTGGAAGGGTCTAGAGCCTCCATTTTTGCACTCAGGTCAAAGTTCGTGCCCTCTATCATAATCCAGAGTTTTGAGAAGATTGGAGAAACTCAATTTTTCGCCCGAAAATGAAAAAAAAACCAAGGGTAACACTGTCGTTTTTTTTTTCGGGTCGAAATTTTGAATTTCGATATCTCAGCTCTGGAAGGGTCTAGAGCCTCCATTTTTGCACTCAGGTCAAAGTCTCGTGGCCCTCTATCAGAATCCAGAGTTTTGAGAAGATTGGAGAAACTTAATTTTTCGCCCGAAAATGAAAAAAAACGAAAGGGTAACACTGTCGTTTTTTTTTTCGGGTCAAAATTTTGAATTTCGATATCTCAGCTCTGGAAGGGTCTAGAGCCTCCATTTTTGCACTCAGGTCAAAGTTTTGTGGCCCTCTATCAGAATCCAGAGTTTTGAGAAGATTGGAGAAACTTAATTTTTCGCCCGAAAATGAAAAAAAACGAAAGGGGTAACACTGTCGTTTTTTTTTTCGGGTCGAAATTTTGAATTTCGATATCTCAGCTCTGGAAGGGTCTAGAGCCTCCATTTTTGCACTCAGGTCAAAGTCTCGTGGCCCTCTATCATAATCCAGAGTTTGAGAAGATTGGAGAAACTTAATTTTTCGCCGAAAAATGAAAAAAAACGAAAGGGGTAACACTGTCGTTTTTTTTTCGGGTCGAAATTTTGAATTTCGATATCTCAGCTCTGGAAGGGTCTAGAGCCTCCATTTTTGCACTCAGGTCAAAGTCTTACAGCCCTCTATCATAATCCAGAGTTTTGAGAAGATGGAGAAACTTAATTTTTCGCCCAAAAAATGAAAAAAACGTAACACTGTCTTTTTTTTTTCGGGTCGAAATTTTGAATTTCGATATCTCAGCTCTGGAAGGGTCTAGAGCCTCCATTTTTGCACTCAGGTCAAAGTTTCATGGCCCTCTATCATAATCCAGAGTTTTGAGAAGATTGGAGAAACTCAATTTTTCGCCCGAAAATGAAAAAAAACGAAAGGGGTAACACTGTCGTTTTTTTTCGGGTCGAAATTTGAATTTCGATATC